GTACTAAGCTTAAATTCGTAGTCAAGGTACCAAAGAGGAAGATTCATCAGAACAATTACCATGAAAGTTTTGGCATTTGTAAATCTAGTAGACAGCTGTACTTTTTGAAGTGGTACAGAGACCAACCATTTTTCCAACATCTTTTGCAATGGGTCATATGTATGAGTTCTATTTGATGTCTGGGGCAAGTTTAAATTCCAATAGGCACTCAAGTCATGGGGCCTTTGTGAGGGAACATTTCTTCACAATTGGTAAAAGTTCTGAAAAGGTGCAATCAGCAATGGCAGAATATATATTATGCTAACGATAATTTCAGTTGAGCACTGTTGATTGGAAGAGGGTAATTCTAAAAAGCAGCCATCCCTGCTAACACAACACTCTTCATTAAATGAATCAAGCACTATGGCTGTCTGGCGTTTGTTTATAGTTATAAAAAATAATATGCTAGAATTTCTCTTTCTCTCTGCTGTGCGCTGATAGCTCAGGGGTAGAAACTGACTGATGCCAAATTGGTCAAGTTTCGATCCAAGCTTGAAGCATTCAGATGACTAGTTGCACTGATGAGCTGTGATACAGCAAAACAGGCCTCTATGTGGATGACATTATATATATATATATATATATAATATAAAAGGCTCAAACACTAATATTCCATGGTTATAATTTATTACATTGGAATCAGATTATGATTCATTCATTAGACCTACAAATTCAAAAAGAAATCTGATTTCTTTCTGAATTTGTAGGTCTGATGAATTGGATCCTCTTGGAAATTTTTATTATATATATATATATATATATATATATTGACGACTAATATTATCTATATATTATATATATAAAATTGAACGTATAGTCACACTGAGGAGCAGGATACAGTGTAACAGTGTCTGTGGATGACTCTATATATATATATGTGTGTGTGTGTGTGTGTGTGTGTGTGTGTGTGTGTGTGTGTAAAAGTTAACTAAAAATATAACCGTAAAAAGACAATATGAATAAAGATAAAAGGAAAATTCAGAGTACGAAATACGTTGACTAAGAAAAATGTTCCTTTTGACGTGACTATTTGTATATGCTGGTCGATGAGGCTTTATGTGTAGCAAGGTCTATTGTATTATTCTATTGGTTATTATGTAGTTACAGTTCTGTTACAAATTATTCTTGAGGCTACTGAGTAGAAATAACTGTATTCAAATTCAGTTATTTTTAATTGTTTTATAGTATTGTTTGTTAACTTTTTTTACTCATTATTAATTACTTGATTATTTGTTGTTGATTCTTCTTTCTTTTTATGTGCCATGTCCTTTCAGGATGTTGGTGATCATGGCACTCCACCTCCTTCTATCACTTGCAACTCTCAACAAGTTCTTTCCCTCTGCTTCCTCCTCCAGACCACGTTCTGTCATCCACTTGTTTAATGTCACACATTGTTTTCCCTTGTCTCTCTTTCCCTCTATTTGACCCATGAGTATCAGGTTCTCCAGGCCTTCCTTCCTCATTATGTGTCCCAGAAACTTCAGCTGCCTCTTCCTGATATTAAGTATATTTGCAACCTCTCTAAGATCTCATTGTTACTCACATGATTATTACTATTATTAAATTTACTTGTGTTTATGTGTGTATTCATAGTTTATTAATTTGTTTATTTATTTAAATTTTTTTTCAAGGTTTGATCATAGTTTAGAGCATTGGCTTTGTCTAAAGTATACTGGATTATCAGTTATAGTGTAAATATTTGCATTTTTCTTGGTACTATTTTACAAAGTATTTATTTTAGTTTTTGACTTCTAAGTAACTTAGTAAAAATTTATTTTCATCTCAGCATTTTGAGATAAGTTTTAATTGTTGATTTAGAAATTAGTCCACTTACACACACTCTATCACTGATATCACTGATATTAATATAGAACTTTTAAAACCCATATATATTATAGGGACAAAATATAAAGAAAAAATTTTAAAATTATAAATTTTTTGAAGATCATAAATAAATATTTTTGGATTTGATGTGGTATAAAGAACTATAATATATATAAATAAAACATATATGGAAAATTGAGCATCATATGTTGTTTAATAGGAAATTTTGAATAGGAAGGTTGGTGATAATATTTAGGACAAGGACAGCGGCATTCAAGTGAATTCCACAATTTTCCAACTGCAGACCAACATGCAGTTTTATACTGTATTTATTAATTGGGACATATATTATCGTTTATAGGCATACTAACAAACATAAGTGGAATCAGAAAGATAAAAACTATAGTATAAAATTTTAGTGTGTGTGTGTATATATATATCCTTCTGTTATAAATATATAAATAAATATATATATTTTAAAATTTTAAAGTTATAATTTTATGAAATATATAAAATGCTAACATGTTATTTATACATACATATGAAACTTTATAATATGGGAAATATTTGAAATAAATAAATTAATTAATTAATAAATAAATAAAGTTTACTAAATCATATGTTTTTGTTGCCATTAATATTACTTAAATAATATTTAAATTTGAAAAAAAAAAAAAAACCATATACTTTGATATGGAAAATAATCTTACTTAAGATTTCTGAAAAGAATATATCTATTAAAACTAAACAATGAAAATATTTTAAAATTTTAAAGTTGAAGGTAATTAAAATTGGTTAAATGAATGAATAACCTAAATTTCTTTTAAATTTAGGACATAAAAAGAATCAAAAATAACACCTATAGTAAAATAAAATTAATATGAAATACCATAACATGTAAGCTTTGAATGACCCATGTCCTCAGTACTTACATTTGAAATATTATAATAATAGGTTTATATATAAAAGAAAAGTTTACTGAAAGTGAAATTAAGTAAAATTTTGCTGTCATAAATAAAAAAAAAAAAAAAAAAAAATGTAACCTCATATACATACTTAAACTTAATGTTAAAATAATCCTACATAATATAATGGATTCTAATACATTTAACTGTTCTTAAAAAAAGAATATAGTAAAATAAAATTAAAAAGGAAAATATTTCAAATCGTAGTTAAATAAAAAAGTAAAAAAAAAAAAATCTTTAATTTAAAAGATGACGTTGAAAATTTTTACCGTTAACAATTTTTTTTTTTTTTTTTATAGACGACATCCATTCAACTGACGTCAGGTTTCAGAGTAAAATACATCCTCACCCTTACCAAAATGTAGCTAATAACTGATACAATGATACTGTCATAAGGAAAATCTAGACACCCTGTGTTCAATTTGAGTAGAATATTCTGTAACCATGGAAACGTGATTTTAGCTGTGTATTTAAAACCCGGTAAATTTTAAAAGTTATCCAAAATTCGCTTGAAGATGAAATGGAACTAATGCTTTTAATTTATTTGCAAAAATTTTAGGGTTTTTAGCTTCTATTTTTGAAACATGGTTGTGTGCGAAAATATATTTTAAATATATATATATATATATATATATATATAAACATTAAAAATTGTTTGATTAAATAAACCATTTAGTAAATTAAAGTTGTTTAAGTTTCAGGTACAGAACTGAATCTAGCAGATATATATTTGTAGAAGTCCCAATGAGAGATAAGCATTCTTTAAATAGGTAATTTAAACTTTGCTCTATCTTGATGGCCACATTTTTCAGCTATAGAATTGGTTTTCCTGATGAAAAAAGGGATACAGGTTAGATTTCTGTCAGGGGGTACAATTTTTGTTCAGTAGGACTTCTCAATCTAGGCTGGTTGTTATTGATTCCACCATTGAACTCACCATGTCCCCCAAATTCACAAACCAATGCCTTAATAATCTACTAAGTTATTGTCTCACATGACCTTCGACCAGTCAGTGTCTACTTAGGTTCAGTGGAAATGGAGCAAACAGTAACTGATCAGTACTAAAACTAAGAACTAGATGAAATATTCTTAGGTATGGGAAGTGAAACAAGAACAGTCTGAATTCTTATAGATTAAATAAAGGGTTCAGTTCAAAATTCCCTGTAGGTTACCTGGATTGTCATACACCTGATGAAGGCCAGGGGGCACAAAAGCTGAAACCATGTGATAACAATCTTAGCTTTCTTCTTTTACATTAAGCACTGTTGTTTTTACTCCTAATACTCACTAAGCACTATATTGTATTTTATATTTAATTGATATATATATATATATATATATATATATATATATATATATTGGGCACATGAGAGAGTGGTTAGAATGTTTGCTTTCTGACCATGACACCTGGGTTCAAAGCTCACTATAGTTGATTTGTCTTGAAGGTGACTTCTTAATATTATCAGTCTGGGTAAGGCATTCTGAGCATGCAGCACCTTTGGAAAATGTCTGAAAACCACACCACAAGTTGACACAAGCCTTGTGAGTGAACTTGGGTAGACAGAACTATTTGGAAGCTGTCAATGGTTGTGCTAACACAAAGTCACAAGTCATCATGACCAAAGGCTGTGTTCAAACTGTTGATCACGCCAAATAATGCACTCTCCCAGAAACTGTAACTAAGGTCTGTTCAGTATAGTTGCAGGCTGTGTGGGTCTTGAACAAACACAAATGTGCCTAAGCAGGTGTCTGCAACAGAGATTGGCTAGCCACTCTAGCAGACAGGGATACTTGGATATGCGTGTCCAGCTATTAAAATATATATATATATATATATATATATATATATCACACAAACTTATATAAAATTTTTGATGATGTGCAAAAAATTATGATTGATTGCTTGATTTGTTTTTGATGACTTATCAACCTTTTGCAGGTTATTTAAAGGTTATTTAAAGCCAGAAAATATTTTAGATTGTAAGAAATTTTTTTAATAATAATAAATGATGTCCTACTAATTAACCCATAGTTGGGAGGAGAAGAGGTGGGTTCATACATTTCACAAGGGTATTTGCATGTAAATGAATATAACAAACTCAAATGGAATTAGAACTTGGCTCAACCGTTTGCAATTCTGAGATGTTATCCACTACAGTCACACATTCAAACTTACAGCACCTTGTATTCCCAAACATTCACCCATCTAGGTACTGATCAGGCTCGAGATTGATGAACTTTGGTGATCAGAGAAGAACCTGTGTTTCAACATGATATGGCCATAAGCACACAAAAATTAAAGAGCTACAAAACTGTGTGTGTGTCTATGTATACTTTTGTTCTCTCTAATTTTGCATATTTACTCATGTGTGTGTTTATTTATATATATATATATATGCATCTTTCCACAGATGCAGAATAGTGCAGTCAATAAAATGATTATTTCTCTTTGCCTCTGTAAATAGTTTCCTTTATAGTAAAAACAGAAATTAATTTATATGTTTACTCGTGCTTTTTTTTCTTTTAGTTGAGTTTCAATAATTGTACATCTGAATAGAATGTAATCATTAAACTGAAAAACATCAATATGAACAATTCCTTGAGAGATAATTATAACATAGGTCGAGATCTTCAGAATAATTTTATTTTGAGAGTATATATCCTGATTCCAAAGTCTTTATAAAGTAAGTCTTTTAGATGCAAGAAGTGTCTGAAAATTATTAGTTACATCCAACCAAAAGTAAATAATTGCTGGATGAGGGAAAGTTTACTTGTTTAAAATTACAGCAGAGACACACATGAAAGAAGGAAAATAAAAAATAATAATGAAAACAAAACAAGGTCGAAAAGTTGAAATGCAAAACGTGTTTAAAAAAATAAGTAAAAAGGAAAATGTGAAGGAAGACAGGAGAATGATAAATGAATGAAAGACTGTTGAAAAATACAAAAATGAAAGAAAAAAGAAACACAAAAGTAGAAGGAAGGTGCTTATAAAAAGAAATTATAAAATGAGGAAAGAAAATGAAGTAAAGCGTTAATAGAAATAAATTATAAAAAATAATATTTAAAAACCTAAAAGAGAATTTTAAATAAGATATCAAAGAATGAAGAGAAAAGGAGAGTGGAAGTAAAAAAAGAAAAAATTAAAAAAAATAGGATTTAAATGAAGAAGAAAAAAGAAAGTATAAAGAATTCAGATGAAAAGATAGAGAAGAAAAAAAGAGAAAGTATAAAGAATTCAAAGGAAAGATAGAGGAGAAGAAAAGATAAAGTATAAAGAAAAAAAGAGAAAGTATAAAGAGTTCAACGGAAAGACAGAGAAGAAGAAAAAAAAGAAAGTATAAAGAATTCAAAGGAAAGATAGAGGAGAAGAAAAGAGAAAGTATAAAGAAAAAAAGAGAAAGTATAAAGAGTTCAACGGAAAGACAGAGAAGAAGAAAAAAAAGAAAGTATAAAGAATTCAAAGGAAAGATAGAGGAGAAGAAAAAAGTATTAACAGAAATAGCAGAAAGAGAAAAAAAAAGAAAGAGAAAAAGATAACTAATTTATGCTATTTGCATTTTCACTTCACTTTCTCATGAGATTCCAATTAATATGTTTTATATATTAGTCATCTCTTCTGAGCAAAAGCTTAAAACAAAAACAAATGGAAAAGAATATTTCTTCTCAATATTGTCTTTAGAAACCAAATTTTCAAAAATGACACCAATTTCCACACAGTTTTTAATTCTTTATTGATTGTTTAATGAGAGCTGCCACAAGTTAGAACTGGTATATTCTAACAGAGAGCTATACTTTATTCAAAGTATTTTACATTTCTCACAAAGATTATAGTGATCTTATTTCTCAATTATTTAGTTATAAGCTCTTGACAAATAGTGATTCAATCCTGGAGGATTTTCAGTTTGTCCTTTAATAAGTTTAGCTTATATTGCCCAAATGCACAGAAAAATCAAAATGAACAAAGGGCCAAGATGAATAATCTAAAAGCTATCAAGAACAAACAATTATTTCCAAATGCCAAAAGGCTTAAAAGTATCATTAAATATTTAATAATACTTTTTCTATGATGACTCTCATTGCGAATACAAACTTTAAAAATTCATCACTAGTATCCAAGGCCACAGAAAAGTGGAGAGGTCTTTATAGAAAAAGAAAAAAAAAGTCAAATATGAAAAATAGTTCAATTTTTATTATTCTATGGAAATGTACACACAGGTAGTATCATGAATATCAGTACAAAAACAAAACAGAGTTCAAATTCTGGGCTAGTTTGTTGCATTCACTTTTAATCAAGTGCTTTTGGGAAAAGAAAATTATGAATCTATCAATTCTTCCTCTAGCTATAGGTTAAATAACAGTGCAGACTGGATTCTCTAGCTTTGAGTGACAACCAATTTAGGAAAAGGGCAGCTCAACTTCATGAAAAAACTATTTGTGACAGAAACTATAACGCATCTAGTATAGTGAGGCTGTGGCTTTATACTACACTGGGAGTTTCTTTGGTACTATGGTGTAGGGAGATGAAAATGAAACTCAGCATGTATTTTGTTGTAACTAGCTTCTTGTGTGTGTGTGCATGTGAGAGAGACAGAGAGAGAAAATTTGGTTGAGAACCCAACAGAATAGAACATTTTTCTGGATTTCTGTCCTTAGAGTTTATTATTATTACAGTCAGACTAATGTCCTCATTTTGTGTTACTATCACAATGTTTCAACACTTGTACACTCTGACCTTCTTCAGATGTCTGTCAATCTGAATAACTTTCAAGGAATTTCAAACTGAACCTTTTATTTAATCTATGGGGCTGGGTGTTCTCATTCAGATGAGCACATTCTCCCATAAATTAAATAACGAGTTCAGTTTGAAATATCTTGAAGGTTACCCACATTGACAGGCATCTAAAGAAGGTCAAAGGTCACAACAGCGAAAATGTTCTGATAGTAACAACAAAGATGAAGACATTAGTTTGAATGTAAGTATTGTAAATAAGAATGGGAAGTAAAAGATAATTTTGAAAATCTTTTTTACCTCAACCAGTTTCCTCAGTGATTAAGCATTATGAAAAATCACTTTTTCTGATTTTTCTCAGCAGGAAAACATGGAGAAAGCCAGTTATTGTGATTACTTTGAGATAAAGTCTTTTAGATAACATAATGACAATATGCCACACTTGGTCTGATAAAATTAAACAAAGGTTGAAAGAAGTGGAACCAATTCATTGTTATAAACAACTTTACATTGTAACAAAAATGACACAAATTTTCTCATCTGAAATAACTATTTATTTAACTTAGAACTAATAAAGTATTGAAACTGACATTATAAATGCTTTCTTCTATTGATATATATATATATGTGTGTGTGTGTCTAAGTTTATCAATCATTCCACAGACTGATGGTGAAAAAAAAGCAGAATTATTATTATTATTATTATTAATGCCTTTGCCTGTTTATATCAGAATATCTTGTGGTCATCACCGAGAAGTGAATAAAAACAATTCCCCTATCCAAGGCTCCAGTACTTTCCTCAGTATCTTTGCAGGTCCCAGCAAAATTCTTGGTCTTTACAGTCTCAATCCTTCTTCAGATTTCTAACTCATTCTATCTTGAGTCCAGTATTTTTGGCACGGTTCCAAAATTCATTTTATACAGGATTCTAATCTTCATATTCTATATATCTTTCTCAGCTCTTAGGCAAGGTCCTAGTATTTCTCTAATTTCTTACTCACCTTCATGTTCACTCTATGATCCATTGGTACATATACTTGCCTAATCTGATAGGATAATCTGAAAAAAGAAAACCTATTTGGATGGGATGGTCAAAATGGATATTGAAACCCCAAAGTATATCATGATTTTTGTTTCCCAGGACAGTTTTTGATTTGTATTGATACCCTTTGTTTACATGGTTGAATCCAATTTTTTTGCACAGTTCTCAGTGTATGTCTATTTCCATCTTATCAGGCCTTCTTTTTGGGACAAATTGTTTCATTCTCTGATGTATTTGCCCTGACGGTGATGATGAGGAGATCTTTTTTTTTTCATTGTTAGTTCACCAAAAACAAGGCACAAGGGTCACTCAAAGTAGAATGTTATTGAGTGAGATTGTAAGGTGAGGGAAAGTAACAGAGTATTCTGAGAGTCGGATAGATATCAGTTAATCCAGTACTTAAAAGAGACCAAGATTGTAGCTGTCAGGGAAGCATTCTCTCAGGAGTTTGTTTCACAAAGTAACAGTTCTGGAAAAGAAGCTGTTTGATGGAAACCTACTTTTTAATCAAAGGAACATGAAGGGAATGGTTTGCCATTATGAACATGACAGGTTCTAGGTGTGAAAGTCTGAGCTGATGGAACTTATCTGAACATCTGCTACAGTAATAGCGATACTGTAGTGAAATGTTGGCAAAGTTTTGTCTGTCAGATAAGGATTACAGGGTGAAGAATAATTCATCACCCACAAGGCCATGTAAGCACTTTTGAACTATGTCAAAGCTGGAGAGTGAGGACTGGGTAGCACCAGCCCAGATATGACAGTAATACTCCATTCTTGGTCATTTTGACTCTTGTCTAATTCTCACTGTCCAGCATTGACATCATTCAAAAGTGCTTACATGGCCTTGTGGGTGATGAATTATTCTCCACCCTGCGACCCTTATCCCACAAACCATAAGTTGCTAACCTTTCACTACTATATTGCTAATACTATGACAGATGCCTGAATGATTTACATTTCTTAGTTCCATTTGACTCTTGTCGGATCAAACCAAGAATAGAGCATGACGGCAGGAGTTAAGTATTTCCTGGAGTGATTTCTTTGCAAGTTTTCTCTTTCCACAAATTTTTTGGTTTATGATATATTCTATCTGCATCTTAAATACAACTGTTACTTTTTCCATTTTTTTTTTTACCTTGCTGCTTTATTCACTTATTCCTCATTTTCTTAAATTTCTTGTTACGCAATTTGGAGCATCAGATTATAATTCTGCTTGTTCCTCTATTAGGAAGTTAACACATATTATCCTTTGTGATTTTTCTTCTTCTTCTTCTTCTTCTCTGTGCCTTGTCTCTTCAAGACATGTGTAAACATAGCTCTCCACAATTTTCTATCCTTTGTAACACATAGTAATGTTTGTCTTCCTACCATCCCTCCTACTCCCTGTCCCACCCTCCATCTAAAAATAAGTTCCTTGCTGTTTTCCTCTGCCCCTCTTACCTTCAATATGCCCTGTGAGTAACAAATTCTTCAAGCCCTCTTTCCTCATTTTGTGTCCTAGAAATTT